CAACATCACCTTTGGTGGCCCCTGTATTGTTTACAGGAAAGAAGGACGGCAGCCTGCAACCTTGTTTTGATTACAGAAGACGCAACGCACTAACAGTCAAGAATAAGTACCCACTGCCTTTAACAATGGAACTCATAGATAGCTTACTCGACCCTGATGAATTCACAAGCTTAGATATGAGAAATGGTTACAATAATCTACAAGTATGGGAAGGCAACAAGGCTAAACTAGCCTTTATCTGCAGACAAGGACAATTTGAACCCTTAACCATGCCCTTTGGACCAACAGGTGTGCCCGGGGTTTTCCAGTACTTCCTCCAAGATATTTTAAAAAATCATATTGGAAGAAATGTAGCTGCATACCAAGATGACATTTTAATTTATACAAAACAAGGTGAAGATCATCAGAAAATAGTCAAAGAAGTCTTAGATATATTGAAAGTGCAAAATGTCTGGCTTAAACCCGAGAAATGCAAATTTTCAAAAAAGGAAATCAGTTACTTAGGATTAGTTATCTCACAAAATCAAATCAAGATGGATCATACCAAAGTCAAAGCAGTAACGGAGTGGCCCAATCCTCGCAACTTATCAAAAGTTCAAACATTCATTGGCTTTGCCAACTTCTATCAGCAATTCATCAGTCAATTTTTGAAAATAGCACACCCACTACACAAACTTTTTCAAAAAGAAACCAAATTTGAATGGACCAAAGAGTGTGAAGAGTCTTTTCAGCTCCTGAAAAAAGCATTCACAACGGCACCTATTTTAAAAATTGCTGACCCTTATAGGCCTTTTGTTCTAGAGTGCGATTTCTCTGACTATGCTTTGGGTGCTGTGTTGTCGCAAATTTCACAAGATGATGGCAAACTACATCCAGTAGCATTCCTTTGATGATCTCTCATCAAAGCTGAACGAAACTATGAAATATTCAATAAGGAATGTCAGCCCTGGGTACATACACATGTACCCAAAGACTAACTTGTAAATATACATATTACTCATAAAACCCAAATACATGTACATATATCTTAGA